AGTATGGCCATTTTCACTATATTGGTTCTTCCTACCCAGGAACAGGGGGTGTCTTTCCATTTTCTTATATTCTCTTTGATCTCTTTTTTCAGAGTGCTGTAGTTCTCAATGTAGAGGTCTTTTGCTTCCTTCATTAGATTGATTCCTAAATATTTCATTTTTTTGGATGATATTGTGAAAGGGATTATTTCCCTAATTGCTCTTTCAGTGAGTGTGTTATTTGTGTAAAAGAAGGCTATTGATTTTTGAGTGTTAACCTTGTATCCAGCTACTCTACTGAGTCTGTCAATTAAGTCTAGAAGTCTTAGCAGAGTTTTTTGGGTCTTCTGTGTAGAGTATCGTATCGTCAGCAAATAATGACAGTTTAACATCTTCCTTTTCTATCTTTATTACTTTTATTTCTTTCTCTTTTCTAATTGCTATGGCTAATGTTTCCAAAAGTATATTGAACAGGACTGGTGATAGTGGACATCCTTGTCTTGTTCCTCATTTTAGTGTGAAGGTTTTCAGATTTTGACCATTTAGTATGATGTTGGCTGTTGGTTTTTCATTGATAGCCTTTATCAAGTTGAGATAAAGACCAACTGTTCCAATTTTCTGCAGGGTTTTTATCATAAATGGGTGTTGAATTTTTTCAAATGCTTTTTCTGCATCTATTGGGATGATCATAGGTTTTTTTGCCCTTGACTCTGTTAATATAGTGTATTACATTCATTGATTTACGTATGTTGAAGCATCCTTGCATCCCTGGGATAAATCCAACTTGGTCAGAGTGTATGATCTTCTTGATGACACTCTATTCTGTTTGCCAGTATCTTGTTGATGATTTTTGCATCTATATTCATTAGGGAGATTGGCCTGTAGTTCTTTTTGGTTGGGTTATTTCTTGGTTTTGGAATCAAAGTAATACTTGCTTCCAGGAGTGAATTTGGGAGTATTGCTTCCCTTTCAATTTCGTGAAACATTTAAAGAGTAGTGGCAATAGTTCTTCTCTAAATGTTCTGTAGAATTCAGCAGTGAAGCCATCAGGACCTGGGCTTTTCTTTGTTGGTAGATTTTTAATTAGGTTTTCAATTTCACTGATTGTTATTGGGGTGTTTAGAATTTTTATATCCTCTTCATTCAAATTTGGTAATTCATATGTATCTAGAAATCTGTCCATTTCTTCTGTGTTTTCCATTTTTTTAGAGTACCGGTTATTGACGTAGGTATTGATGATCCTCTGGATTTGTGCTGGATCTGTTGTGTCTTCACCTTTTTCATTCCTAAGTGCGTGCATTTGAACCTTTTCTTTCCTTTTTTTGATAAGGTTGGCTAAGGGTTTATCGATTTTATTGTTTTGAAAAACCAACTCTTTGATTCGTTGATTTTTTGTATCATTCTCTTAGTTTCTATTGCATTGATTTCTGCTCTGACCTTTATAATTTCCTCCCTTGTATGAGCTATGTGTTTGTCTTGTTCTTCTTCTTGGAGCTTAAGATTTAGCATTAGGTTATTTGAGCTTGGTTTGTTTTCCTAGCACTGGCATTCACTGCTACAAATTTCCCTCATAGAACTGCTTTCATGGTGTCCCATAGATTCCTATATGTTGTATTGGCATTGTCATTTATTTGTAAAAAGTGTCTAATTTTTTCTTTAATTTCCTCTGTGACCCATTGGTTGTTCAGGAGAGTATTATTCAATTTCCATGTGTTTGTGAAGTTCTTGCAGTTTCTTATGATATTGATCTCCAGTTTAATTGCACTATGGTGTGATATTATGCACGAGGATAAGTTCAGTTCCTTTGGATGTACGTATAAACATGCTCTATGAGCTAGTATGTGGTCTGTTTTGGAGAATGACCAGTGTGTAGCTGAAAAGAATGTATATTCTGATTTTGTGGGGTGGAACACTCTGTAGATGTCTAACAAGTCCATTTGTTCAAAAGTTTGGTTTAGTTCTAGTATTTTGTTGTTGATTTTTTTGTCTAGATGATCTATTTGTGACAGTGTGGTATTGAGGTTCCCTACTACAGTTGTATTAGTGCTTATGTGCTTTTTCATGTCCTTTAATATTTGTTTTGTATATTTGGGGGCATTCATATTTGTTGCATATATATTTATGATTGTCATCTCTTCCTTTTGGATTGTTCCCTTTACAAGGATGTAGTGACCTTCTTTGTGTCTCACTTTTTAAAAATTTTATTAGTACATTTTACATATACAATATAATGACATTCATCATTGGAAATTTGCACCTTTACATAATCTCTCTTGGTTCT